TTAAACCAAAAGGCATACGGAGAAATTCATAATGACCATTATCGGTTGAAAAGGCAGTTTTTTCTCTATCCTCCGGATTCATCAAAATTTGGTGGAAACCAGAAGCTAGATCGAAGACTGAGAAGAACTTTGCGTTTCCGATGGCATCTAGGATTTCAGCGATGTTGGGTAGCGGATAAGCATCGCCAACTGTCTTCGCATTTAAAGCGCGAAAATCTATAACCATTCTCCATTGTTTGTTTCCCTGACTATCAGGTTTTTTTGGTACGATCCACAAGGGGGAATTGTTAGGTGACGTTGAGTTTGCTATAACCTTGAGATCGAGTAATTTGCTTATTTGCTTATGGATTTCTTTTTTATGAATTGGAGGATATCGATATTGTTTTGTGCAGACTGGGACATCGTCGGTGGTCGGAATTTTGTGGGTGACCAAGGATGTTCCAGGTAACTCATCGCCTGGTAGAAAGAAAAGATATGGAAATTTTTTTATTATTTTAATAACTCTACGTCTACTAGGTCTATCTAGATGTTTAATCCCAACTCTTTCTAAAATCATACGCACGCGGTCAGATTTCGAATAAATCGGTTTATCTGGTTTCAAAGCCTCATCAAGAATGTCGTTTTCCTCATGGTCATTATCGTTACAAGTTTCATACGGAAGCAATTCTTGTGGTTCAACTTCAATTTCTATATCTTTTTCGCTTGTGTTATACACCATCGCATAGCAATTGCCATCATTGACGGAAACCGCGGCATTGCCTAAAAATACCTTATCGTTACCAACATGAATGCGATCAAGGAGTCCTTCTTTAATTTCGGGATTTGTTACCTGAATAGGGACAACTTGACACGTTCTCGCTTGTATACGAAAAACGGAGGCGTTTTTCTTAGTACTTTCAAAATTTGTTTGTTTTTGTGCGGGTGTTTCGATTTCGGGTGCGATAGGAATAAAAGGAATTGGTTGAATAGGGTTACTGCGTGTAACAATTGTTTTGTGACAAAAGGATATTTCGACTTCTTCCTGATTTAGGAAATCGATGCCGAGAATACCCCTTGCTGAGGGTATAGGCAGATCGTAATTTACTACCTGGACCTTTACGGTCGCATCGAAAATTCTAACCATAGCAGAGCCTAAGGTTTCAATTTGTGAAGATGTGATGCCTGTAATAAATAATTTATCTTTGGGATCAATCTCTATTTCGGGGTCAAGAACTTCTACATCGATTATTGTTATATCCGATCCAGTGTCGACTAAAAAATTTTCCTTCCCGTTTCTTAAATCCGTCGATTTGACACTTATAACTGGGCAGGATCGCGATTTCTTTTCGGTAAGCTCCCTGCTTTGAATTTGATTGACGTTGACGCATTCTGTGCTTTCTGTGTGGCGCTCGTCGGGGAGGCTATCAGACGAGCGCTGAATAAGTTTAAAGATTCCGGTTGTGATTCTACAATATTATCGCAAAGAGGAGCTTCTTTACTAATTTGAGAATTTTGCGCAATTAAATCAAGGGAGGTTAATTTGATTTGACATTGAGTGCAGAGTAACGAACATAAATCTATATTCGCACTATTGACATCTTTCGGATTAAAGTTTTGAATATTTTCTAATGGGTTCTGAAAGTTCGAAGGGGCTTGGCATTCTGAGGCGAGCATGCTTCGAGAAGCTTGCCTTTGATAACCACGTTGGAAATGGTCTGGTGTAAACTGAGGTTTAGAGTTCTCAGGGCGTCTTAATAAATAAGGTTGATCAACCCTTTGAGATGGATAACGAGAATGAAGTGTTGGAAGTGGCAGATTATTACGCGAAGTGTCTGGGGCATAAAAATTTCTATCTTGAGAATAAAAGTGTTCGCCTCGATGCTCAGCGGCATCTTGCAAAAAAGAACAATATTCTTTTGCGAGATCGATGGCAGACTCTAAGTTTTCTGGATTTTTTAATGAAACTCTTATTTCGAGATCAGGTCGCAAACCCTTTAAAAATGTTTTCAACGCGGTTTTTCCTACAAGGCCAGTTACTGCGGTTACGTCTCCCTCTGGAACAGATGTAAGGAGAGCTACTTTGGTTTGTCGTACAAGATGTTGAAGACGAGAGCCAAAGTCAGAAACCGTTTCGTTGCGTTCCATTTTCGCACGCCCGAGTTCACTAAAATACGCTTCGAAAGGTCGTACTACCGGTGAAAATTCTGTTTTTAAATGTTTGATAAGTTCCGCAATAGAAGCAAAGGTTTTTCCTTCCACAGAGTCACAAGCCGCGCCACGTAATCGCGCCAACACATTTGTGATAAAAGGTTGTTTTAATCCTTCAGGGACCGTAACATTAGCCGTCTCTAAGTTTTGTACGAACGTACGTAAATCAGGGTTTCTCCCGTCAAAATATGGAACACCCAGCAGGGCATTCTGCATTGCAAAATATTCTGCGAAAGCTGACATTGAAAATGTAGGATCGGCTTGGGCCATTTTATAATAGTAAAATTTTACACAGCAAATTAACACGAATTTAATAAATTTTCAAGCACAAGGTCGGGATTTGAAAGCGGTTTGTGTTTAAAACGTTAAACAAGGAAAAGAGCAAAATTGGTATGTTATTTAACAATTCAATCAAATTACAAAATAGTCAATTGTTTAAATTACTTTGCTATTTATTACGATAATCATACATAAATATATGTATATTTACTTTCCACTTTCAAAACCAGACAAAAAAATTGAAAGATGCTTATGATATAATTAAAACGAGAAAACGATAAACTTGATCTAAACGAATTTTGTTTAAATCAATTTCATAGTATTTTGTTTAACTGAAAAAAATACCTTTTGGTTCATTTAAAGAAACAATATATTTAATTCAAACACAAATTATGGTTAACTTATAAATTATTTATAATCAATTCTTAAGTTTTAATCAAATATAATATATTCTTTCTTTAAAACCAAAACACAATATATACTTGAATGAATCACAATTTTTAAAAAGTTAATATTTTCGAAACTAATACAATCACAGCTCAATTAAATATTTAATCTGCAATATTTTTAAGTTTTCATTCAAATATAATATTTTCTCGGGTTAAGACAGACTTGACAGAAGATTGTCAATTTAAGCCACACAAAATCGCACATCGACCAATATACAAACAAAATTGGAATTATGTGTAAAAATACATAATGTACAAAAATGAGCTATCCCACCGCTGTCACCATTTGTTTTTCTCTGTTACGTATCACGGGCAACTAATGCAGAGAAAAATATCATTTTTCATTTCAATTATATGATTTAATTAATGTTATTCTTTTCGAGCGGCAGAAAAGAATAGTGTGAGGTGCGATAGCTCGGGTATTAAGGAAGGTTCCAACTATATGTATTTTTAACATTTATTTATTCATTTATTTTCGATGAGTACAGTAAAGCGTGAATCAAAAGGACAATTTAAACTCTAAAATAATGCGCTTACTCACTGAATGATGATTCCCTGTTATTAATCCAAATTATAAGTGTGTAAACTTCACTAAAATTTTAACTATAAATTAAACTACTTTTTGTATTATTTAAAAACTACCGGGACACTTGTTCCCGGGCACAAAGCAGGTGGAGCCTCACTCGCGATCCCGAAACCACTAAAACCTCGGTTCACGAAGATTAAACGATTAATCCACGTATGTGCACGTAATCGACTCAATTAACCGATTAATTGTTTCGTATTCACAAAATGATTAAAGTCTTATGGCATTCAGCCGGCTAGCACTTAGTATTACGCGTTACACAATTTAATATCAGTAAAGAGGAAAAACTTATGTGCACATAACCAAGAGGTTGAACTTTGGTTTTCGCGGATCGAGATCGGAGAAAAGACTGGAGTACCCTTTTTGCAAAGATTGAGATGATTGAGTTTCTGAGGACCAGGGCGTTCCCAAATTTTCCCTTACCATTTTTCTTTAACCAATTGGATTTTTGGGAGTTTTAGGAGGAAAGGGAAAAATGGTCATTTGTAAAGTTAAATTTTGGGTCTTGAACTTGAGATTGGGTGGTACGACAAGGGGCTGGGGTGCGGTACTCAGGCAGCCTTATTTCTTAGAAATTTCAGGGTTGCTATAATGGGGTTGAGTGTTATAAACCATCGGTTTATTCGGCAAAAGTATATTTTTTGCTTTACAACATTGATTGTTGTCTTGCTGCAATTAGCTGTACCTTCCCAGATGATTCCCATATTGTCGAGCCCATCTTCACCAGATTAAGTTGTAAAAATTTATTATATTTTCGTGAGAAAATTTTAAGGAAACGGATTATAGAAATGTAAATTGTTTAGGGGTTAGAAAAATGTGTAAGAGATCTAAAAACCCGAGGTCCTAAGCTAAAAAACATAAAATAAACTAAAAGTATTTATCATAAAGGAAGTAAAATTGGTATAATAAAAGAGAAAGTTCACCATTCTGTGATGTACTAAAATAATATAAATTTAGGAAGGAAATAATAAAAATACTAAAAATAATCTAGAAATATATGCGAAAATAAAATCTACAGGAACGTTACAATTTTTATATTAAACTACTTTTGGTTAACTTTTAGTTAATAAATAAATTTTAATTAATTTATTTTAATTTTAATTTTAAAAAAGAGAAAAACAAAAATTTAAAAGTGTGAGGTCACCATCATTATAAAATTCAGCAAATGAGGAACACTCATTATAAAATCAGCCAAAAATCAGCCAATGAGAAAAAAGTTCTACACTTGAAGTTAGCTGCTTTGACATCAGTAAGTAATGTCGTCTCGATTATATCCAATCAAAATAAAGGATTTTGAATTTTATCCAATCAAAATAAAGGAATAAAAGATTTTGAAAAAATAGCCAATCAAGAAAAAGTTCTACACTTGAAGTTAGTCGATCTTACGCACCTCGTTTTTAAGAAAGGATGGAAAATAATAATTACACACAATAAAATTTTTTTAAACAATTTATTTAAATTTTTTTTCATTTATACATATTTTTCAGAATTTTACTTTTTTAAATTACTTTTTTGACTGTACCACTAATTGGTCGGTATTCTACAATTCTATCGTGTAAAATTAGACAATATGCAGCAGTTTGATTTGGAAAATTGTCTTTTGCTTGGAATTCAAGACGAATGTCAACCGGACCATACTTTAAAGATTCATTTTGTTTAGAGCAATCAAGTACAACTAGTGGTGCAAAATCTAAAAATTCTGATTTTGTTAAAAATGGTTGTGGGTCCCTACCATAGTAACTTGTTTCAAAGTTAGTATACATATCATAGAGTACAGCAAATTGTTTTTTATCAACATCAAGATTCAAATTTCCATATGGATAACACTGATTATTTAAAAACAATTTAACATTTGTTATTCTACAATGATCAAAGTGGCTCGCATTTCGGTTTGTTATATTCTTTCGATTTGTTTGAAAGCCTAAAATAACAAAACGAGGTTTTTCCAATTGTGTTGATGTCTTGACAGTCCACACATGATTCGCTGTAGTTGGTAGCATTGGATACTCGTACAATTCCCATGTGCGAAAACTTATTGGTATAAGAGGATCCTTTTCAATATATTTCAGTAATTTGAATTTTCTTGCATCTGATAATCGTACATTAGGTAATAACCATTCAATTTTGTCAATTACAATTTTAACTTGTTCTTCTGCTGTTTGAATGATTGAATTGACATCACTTCTAGATCTTGTTAAAATTAACTCGTGTCTAGCGTTTATAATAATTTTTTGATAGTCTTCAGCAAAACCGAACATTACATTTAGTGGTATTGATACATCAAAATTTCCTTCATTATCAATTAAATTAATATTATTCGCATTGCATGAAGGAAACCAACCTGCATTTTCCAAGAATTTACTTTGGGCACTATAAAGTGATATATAATTTTTTATTAGACTCGTTAGTCCAACATTTTTGCTTTTATCAACTTCAATAGCATTTATTTCATACCGTGCTTCTTCAAACAAATGACAAATACCATTAATAATAAATCTTGTATTTGTAACAGGTGTTCCATTTTCTTTCACTAATTTTCCTTGAATGTGCAACGAACTTTTACTTGGTACAAGACAGTGGTCTTGATTTTGAACAGCAATTCGAATTTCGTCACTGTTGTTAAATGTTAATGAAGCGTAAGGTAGATGAGCATGTACCTCAACGTGAGCAATAGATTCGTCATAGACAATTGGTTTAGAAATATTCAACATTTCTTCCTCCATTTTCGTTTATTACTTTTACATAGAAAAACAAAAAAACAGATGCAAATAGATTTAATTTGCTTTATCTTTTTGCTCTTTTTTGTTTTTTCTCTTTTATCACTTTCAATCCCAGACTCTTCAATAGTAGGATGTTTTGAGGTGTTAACACCTTCGTTGAAGATTTGAAACTGAATTGATTTTGACATCCTAATGTCTTATTATAGCTGTAACCAATTTTTCGGTTAAATAGAATTCCCATACTTTTTTTATAAAGCCTTAATGTGCAGTCTAATTGTAATTGTTTCACCACGAAAATTGACAATATATCCGTCTTGATCGACTACTCTCAATTGAATGTGATCAATTGTTCTAACAGCGACTGGCAGATAAATGACTTGTGATGGTACTTCAATAATCTTATATCCTGGTGGTACAGTGGGGAAAAATTCATAATTGGGGGGACTTTTATATTGTTTATGTATGCACCTGTTGTAATGTTGTACTCAATTCTTAATGAATTAACCTTTATTATAGAAACTGGCGAATCAGACTGATGGTATTTATTGGCTTCAAGTTTCTGAGGTTTAAAACCAAGCAATTGTGCTATTGAATTTGATTTTTTAAAATTTATTTCACAGTTGGAAAATATCTCACTACGTAAAGTATTATTATTAGGCTTAATATTGATGTTAATTCTTTTAGCACTCAATATTGTTTTCAAATAATGCTCAATATCACTTATCTCATAGCTACCAGTTGGTAAAGTAATTTCTTCTTTATCAATGTAAAACTTATTTTGTCCAATGTCTACGTTTGGAATTGAGTTAAAAGTTAAAAATTCAACCAGGCCTAGAGCGTAGTCTTTATTAGGTGATAGTTCAATTGGTGGAAAATATTGTGCTTCCAAAATTGAAGTATTTCCAGATAAGGTTAGCGTTAATGAATCATTCATTTCGATGGTTTGAAATGAACTGAGATGCAATATTGTTTTAATCTTTATTTATACACAATGAAAAGACATTTTTTACATCAAGTTGTTTACAGAGAAATTTTAAACATAAATGCCCGTAAACAAAAGTATCATAATTTTGATATCTTCTATGATTATAGTTTATTTTATCAACACCTAAATATCTCACAAGATCTGTAGGTGGACGAAGATTTCCAAAGCTATCAAAATATATAACATTATTATTCTTTTTGCTATAAGCAACCCAATGTGTACCAGCATTATCTTTACCATCAAGATTAACTACAGCTGATTCAAATTTAAATGGTCCCATAGCTGGCAAATCATCACGCATAAAAACACCTCGAAAGTAAGGTATTTTTACCAATTTAGCATATTTAATTATATCAAAATTAGTTAATGCTCGATGAGGTAAATTTACAATTTTTTTTTCTAGTTTTTTTTTTACATCACACTCTAATCCTAATCCCTCTTTGTATGGTTTGAGATAAAGTCCTTTTCCTAGAGCTATAGATTCCATCGCTTGGTTATGTCGTTGATTTTCTTCGAGTTGTTTTTTAGCAGCTTTTGCATCATTAACTGCTTTTGCAATTCCAGCAGCTCCGCCAGATAGAGCACCTACTGCACTAAGGCCTGCAAAAAGTGGAACGAGAAATGGTAAAAAACCACCCACTTTTTTTGGTACAGTTAAAATTCTAGGTTTTTTCACTCGGCCTTATCCTCCTGCTCCTTTCACAGCTAAACGTGCCCCTTTTAGGGCTGACTTGATAATAGATGATGTATCATTTCCAGGTATAATAGATTTTTTTGCAGCCAAGACAATTTGTTTTAATGGACAAGTTGCCTTATTTTTTCTCTTCCTTTTTTTTCTTATTTTTGGTTTTAATCCCATTCCCATTTTAGTTTTCAATTTCATGGAGTTAGTGATGGCCCAAGCTGCTGCTTTTTCACCAAGATTTGCGTCACTAGCTTTTACACGACTCCAAGCCTTTTCAGCTAATACTCTATCTGCTGCGTGTCTATTTTCAAGGTTATTTCGATTTTGGGAATAAGCAATATCGTGGTCTTTACAAGCTTGGTCTAAAGGATTAATTCCGGGATCACCACGTGCCAAACGTTTAGCTAATTTTGTTCCAGGTCCACAATACTGATATCCAGGAATATGCAATTCAACTGGTAATTTATTAATTAATTTATTAAAAATACCTCTACCACGTTTGAGAGACTTTTTACAACTGATTGCTTTTTTCTTTGCAACCATGTTTTTGTATATTCTTTCAGGATTATATTTTTAATACTAAAGCAATATGTATAAAAGCAAAGTATTTATAGTTATTTTTTCAGTATATTGTAAACATTGAAACTTTTAATATCAATTACTATCAAGAGATGGAGTTTAAAACACAAGCTACAAAACTCCCTGTAATAGATTTTGATAAAGTAACACAACAAAAATCAAAGAAAAAACGTCATGGAAATTTATTACCAAATACTGTACGCGCAATTTTTTGTGGTCCATCAAATTGTGGGAAAACAAACGCATTACTGTCTTTACTTTTACATCCAAATGGATTACGTTTTGAAAATATATACATATTTTCTAAATCATTATCTCAACCAAAATATAAATTTTTGGAAAATACTCTTCAACTAGTTGATGGTATTGAATATTTTCCATTTCATGATCGTGAAGAGGTTATTCAACCAAAAGAAGCAAAACCAAATTCTACTATTGTTTTTGATGATGTAGCTTGTGATAAACAAGACAGAATTCGAGAATTTTTTTCAATGGGTCGACATGGTCTTATTGATTGTTTTTATTTATGTCAAACTTATACACGAATTCTAAAACATTTAATTCGTGATAATGTGAATTTTTTAATTATTTTTAAACAGGATGATCTAAATCTAAAACATATCTATGACGATCATGTAAATACAGATATGTCATATGCTAAATTTAGAGACTTGTGTTCATCTTGTTGGAATTGTGATAAATATGGTTTTGTTGTTCTTGATAAAGATAGTGAACTTAATTGTGGTAGATATAGAAAAGGTTTTGACTGTTTTATAAAAGTTTCTGAGACTTAAAAACGATTTTTAAAGATTCTTGGTTTAGTTATACCTGAGACATGGTTCAATCAAGATGTCATCAAGAACAGAACAAATTTAAAAACAAAAAGATCTTGCACAACACTTGGCAAAAGCTAGTGAGGCAATTCGTCGGAAACATAAATTATTGAAATTAGGTAAAGAGTCGTTTGAACAAACATTAGAAGACACTTTTAAGCCTATTGTTCATCCTCTGGAAAAACTAGTTGGTGATATAGAAGTACTAAAAACAGTTGACAGTACTAAAAAAGAAAACATAAAACAGGAAAAATTGGAAAAAATAAAAAATTATGATTATGATGATGATGATGATGAAAATATAAATGAAGAATCATTTAAATCAGCAACGTTTGAAGAAGACGACAACAATCCTTTAGAACCATCACTTTATGAGCAACAAATTCCATTGGCATCTTCTTCACCAACGATAGATGAGGATACGAGAATATACATGACATTGTTAAATCAAAGAAGTAAAGAACTTGATAATGTATATGGTGTACGAAAATTAACAAAAGACAGATTGATGATTGGTGATTCCACAATAGGTTTCAGTCAAAATTATATTCATGTGGGTAAATCAACTTTTCCCAGTAGTAAAGGATTACTTGAACTGTTGTTTAAAAAAATTCCAAATGACTCTTTAATCAGTGTGGAAGATCTTACAAATTTTAAAACAATAATTCTTTCAACAAATGCTCATAGAAAACACTATACTGTAGATGGTGATATTCGTGAGAGTAAATCCTTTAAATATAAAAATTATATTGAGAAATTCACAACCAGATCCAGAAAAAGTGGTACAAAAAGACAAAGTACATCAGGTGGGGGTATTATTCCAAAGTATATGCTTGCAGAAAAAGAAAGAAAGTTGGATTATGTTTACTGGGATGATCCAAATGAATTGGTAGATCGATTGCGCTTATTATTAGCATCTCAATCAGCAGGAAATTCTAGTCATACAAATGAAATTTTATCCATCATTGAGGAACTACGAGAAGCAAAGATTATTTATTAATGACTGTTTAAGGAAAAATATGTTAGTTTAACAATGTCTCTGGACATATTTGGACGTTCTTTTAAAAAATCTGAAAATTCTATTCGTGGACCTCCTGGTTTTAGTTTCAAAATTACATCAGATGGACAATACGATATAGAAAATAAAAAATTATGTAATCTTGCAGAAGCATTAAATGAAGGCGATGCAACCAACTACAGGCTTGTTAAGAAACTTATAAATATTGAAATCAGTGAAATATATAATGTTTTAGAGTCTATGAGAACTGATATTCAAGCTAACAATATAAAAATTACGAAACTTGAAGATTCTGTAAATAAATATTTAAGCAATTTAAAAGCTGGTATTGAGAGAAATGTTGAGTGGTTATCACTAAATAAACAGATTTTTACTGATATAGAAAAACGCATTAAAGCACTTGAAGGAAATTAAAAAAAATGAATGCAGAAAAATTAAATCTTGTTAAAGAACTACATAGACCAGCTAGGAGAAATTACTCAAGACAAAAGTTTGACATTCGAGCAATCGATGAAACTTGGCAAGCTGATCTTGTTAAAATGTTAACATACGCACAACAAAATAAAAACTACAAATACATCTTGACAGTTATTGATAATTTTTCTAAATTTGCATGGGCTGTTCCTGTAAAAAAGAAAACCGGTGAAGATGTTGCATCTGCAATGAAGTTCGTGCTGAGTCAAGGTCGAGTGCCTAAAAATTTACATGTAGATCAAGGAAAGGAATTTTATAATAGTCAATTTAAAAATCTTATGAAACAATATAATATAAATATGTACTCTACGTATAGTAATCTAAAAGCTTCAATTTGTGAACGATTTAATCGCACTTTAAAAAACAAAATGTGGATGCAATTTAGTTTGAATGGTAATTACAAGTGGTTGGACATTTTAAAAGATTTAA